GAGAATTTAGAGGGTTAATATGTTGTGGGTTTGTTAACCAGTGTCATAAAACAACATGTGTACTACTGTTTCGTGAGAAACTATTTGTTCTGTAAGCCTTCACCTGAAGTACAATAAAAAAGAAAAAGAAAACCAGGGTTTGAATCTTTCACTTTGAAGTAAAAATGAGGATAATTACATTTACCCTTCTTTGAAAAGATCATATTAGTTGATTTGTATGAAAGTGCTTTTTAAAATTACAAAGCACTGTATGAATAGGTTAGAATAAAATATTTTCTATCCACAGTCTGAACGACTTTCTTCATACAATAAGTTGAAATGTTTTAACCCCTTTTCTTGGAATCTCATTTATAAAATGTGAGCTTTAACAGTTTTAGTCTACTGTTTTGAATCTCTGTGTAATTTGTCAATTTTGATGTATACCTTTTCTTAAATTGAGTAAATATTCAGTATTTCTAACAAAATCTTCTCATATCTACTTAAAATGTTTTACCCCCGCTGTATTGTTAGCATCATTTCAAGACCTACTAAAATCCCTCTATTTAAGACACAAGTAAACAAAAAAACTTCTCTGTAAGTCTGTACATTCTGTTTACTTCTTTTCATTGTATAAAGTTACCTATTTTCCCCTCTTTTAGGAACATCATCTTCAGCGGGCTATTTCAGCACAGCAGGTATATGGCGAGAAGAGGGATAATATGGTTATACCAGTCCCAGAGGCAGAAAGTAATATTGCTTACTATGAATCTATATATCCTGGGGAATTTAAGATGCCAAAGCAGCTCATTCACATACAGCGTAAGTAATTACTTATTTAATGATTGTGTTTTCTGTATTTATTGTCTTATGTAACTCTTGACAGATTTTTCTTTTTTGTATTTTCTGTATTTATTGTCTTAACGTAACTCTTGACAGATTCTTGTCTTTTCAAGACTATTTTCATTACCTGTTTCATTGACCAGCATTAGCTTCAGAGTTATGAAAGCCCATTTTCAACTTTTAAAATGGTGTTTGAGATTTTTGCCTGGCAAAAAAGGTAGCATTTATCATCCTCGATTTTCAGTTTAATCCTAGCATAGGATCTTAATGCTGTGTTAGACAAGTAGGGTAAACACTATGCCTCAGGTGAAGAAATGGTGTGTTTTTTGTTTTTTTCTGGTCAGAATAGTAACGTAGTAATAGTCTTAAAGAATTTCTTTATGTAAAGCGGGGGTCAGCAAACCTTTTCTGTAAAGGGTCAGATAGTAAATAGCTTTTGCAGATAATTCAACCTTTGTTAGAACTGTTCAGCTCTGCTGTTGTAGTGTGGAAGCAACCATACACAGTACATAAATAAATGACATGACTGTGTTCTAGTAAAACTTTATTGACAAAAACAGATGATAGGCCAGATGTGGCCCATAGGCTATAGTTTGCCAACCCCTAATCTGTGTTCCTACTAGGAGAAATGATGGCTAATTTTTCAAATTTAGTGTTCTAATTGGGAACTTCTGTTATAGTGATAGTTTCTTACTAAAAATAGTCTTTTGATAACTCTCACATTTGGTGAACTGGTGAGAACTTGTAGAATTTAGATAATATATTTCATTCATTTCATTCCCCAATCCCCAAGTAGTTGACAGCGTTGAAACAAATAGTTCAAAGCTTGCTGAGGTAAAATTGCTACAGCCTTGATTGTTCTCTTGTTGACTTTCATGATCAAGAGATTTCTCTAGGGAACTGTCTAAACTTTTTTCAGGGCAATGTAAACCTATTTTGTTTTTATTGGTCTTTCTAAGGACACTGGGAAACTGGTTTTAAGTCTTTTTAAACTAACATTGAACTCATTTAACATATGATCCACTTTTACCAGTCATGGATTCCAAAACCTATTTAATTATTTCTTAAATATTTTAAAATGAAAAAGTAGACATAGTATTCATTTTGGGTCATATCATTACTATATTACCATTGTGATATTCTAATTTGTGACTTTTTTATCTTTAACTTGCACTTAACCTTATTAATTTCTTTTAGAGTAATTCTCTAATTTACTTTTAAGTGATCCAATTAAGTGGTATGTGTATATTTTCCCACTACATGTTTAATTATATATAAGACACAGACATAAACATTCTAAACAAATTTTATAGATAATAGAATCCAAAAAGTAGTTCTCTGAAAAATCATGTCAGTGTGGATCTGGAATTTATATTATGTGATCACTACATATGTCAACTAGACCACATGTATTCCATAGCCACAGGCTATATTATAAATGCATGCTTTTAGGTTAAAGCAAGTTTGATTAAGATAAAATTACACTAATCAATTTACATTATCATTACTCTCAGAAAAAAATTGAATACATGCTTTACACATGGACTACTCATTGATGATCAAAATTCACAAAACACTTTACTGATAATTATTGAATCAGATCGTGAGAAAAGTCAAAAGGTACTAATTGAAAAAGGAATTGACTTTGCTGATATTGTAATCAAATAATAATAATAATAGTAATTCATTGAAACAAGTAATTCAGCATTGTAATCAAATAATAAAATGGCAGCAGAATTGTAACTTATTTGGTGGGCTGAGAATATTCATTACAAATTTGAGGTATCTTTCTAGCAGGAGCCCTGGTGGCATAGTGGTTAAGAGCTTGGCTGCTAACCAAAAAAATGGTCTGCAGTTTGAACGCACGAGCTGCTCCATGAATGAAAGATGTGGCAGTCTGCTTCCATAAAGATTACTGCCTTGGAAACCCTACAGGGCATCTCTACTCTGTCCTGTAGTATCTCTATGAGTCGGAATCAACTCAATGGCAGCGAGTTTGGTTTTGGATTTATTTTTTGGTATCTGGTTTTGGCATTAGTAATACTGGCCTCATAAAATGAGTTGTGAAATGTTTATTTACTGGAAGAGATTGTATAAAATTGATGTTAATTCCTTTTGCACATTGGCATTGGCTTTTAATAGACTACAATATAAATGAGGAAAAAACTAATTATAATGTTAATTTCTTCAAAAGTAAAATGGAATCTTGACCGAGCGGTTCAGTAAATTGCTTATACAGGGTACATTGCCTTGAATTCTTTAGGAAACACACACCCACACCCACACCCACACCCACACCCACACACACACACACACACACACACACCCCACACACACCCC